CAACCTCCCCCTGGCTCTAAGGGAGGCTGGAGCTGCCCCTCTCAGCCGACACCCCTGGGTTCTGCACCCGGGGGGCTGGGGTGGCCAAGTCTTGCCCTGCTGGGATGGGGATGGGACTGGAGCCGACTGCATCTCAGACGTGCTTTCCAAGGAATCTGGCTTACTGTTCATTGTCACATCCTGGGCAAGTTTTTCATCCCGGCTGACTGGGAGGCTGGATGCTCCCATTTCTCTCTGGATTAGCTGGTGAAATTCTGACAGGGAATCCACACATCCTTCCCACGTTTGGCCATCCCATCTTTGAGTCACTTCGTGCTGGCTTGGTGCCGAGCAGTGAAACAAGCACGGTGAGGGTGAGAGTCTTGTCTTACACCCAAGAAAAGCGTTTGCCCAGCAGTTCTGGTTCTCAGAAGTTCTTAAGCAGCAAATCCAGCTCCTGCAGCTGGAGTTGTCTCTGTGCAGCTGTCCCTCTCTCTGTGTTTTTCACAGTAGGTGTTGGCACACTTGTGTCAAAAATGATGGGAGCACTGGGAAAGCCACCAGCAGCTCTGTCACTGCATCCACCCAGCTCAGACAAATCAAGCTCCAAAGTTCTCATGGCAGGATAAGAGCCCTGGAAGCCTCTGCAGTGCTCCTGGAGGAGAGCTGCAGCAATCAGGCACCCACAAGTACAACGCCTGAGCTGTTTGGGTTAGCATTGGTTGGGAAGATTTCACTAAAAAAAAAAAAAGCACTTGGTCCGTGCCCTGAAGGCTCTTTTGGGGCGATTGTGGGACAAAGCAAGTCCTGGGCATGGCCACCAGACTGGGTGAATGGGGCTCCCTGGCAGGATGGGGAAGGGGCCGGTAGACTCCCAGCGCTTTCAAAGCCGGTGTCTGTCAGGCATCACTTGCTGGGAGAGGCACTGGCGGGTTCCTGCCATCCAGCAAACCCTCTCTGTGAAGCCTGATGATTCTCCTCCTCACCAGTGTGTGCGTCCCCCCCACCAGCCCCAGCAGCTCCTCGTCACCCACAACTTTCTCCCCTCTGGCAGCAGCCAAGGAAAAGCGGATCGAGGCGCGCTTGCTGCACCTTCCCTGCTCCCAGGGGCCGGTCCCGGCACGCCGGCAGCCTTTCCCGGTGAGTCACCGGCACCTGCCTGCCATGGGCTCCTTTTGATGCCTCTCCCCAGCCCATCCTTTGCCCCAGCGCTGCAGCACCGCTCTGCCTGTGGTGCTGCCTGTGCCAGGGCTGTGGCTTCAGGTACCGTGGTTGTCCCCTGCAGCCAAAGCCAGGGTCATCATCATCCTCTTCACCCGACAGCCTGGATGCCGTGGCACGGCCAGGTCTGGTGGTGAGAGGCGGGGCTGCCCCAGGGCCGGCAGTCGAGCAGGGTCTGCCTGGTCTCCCACCTCACACAACCAGATCCCTGGGAATATTATCCCCACGGGAAGAGCTGGAGGTCCCACCAGAGCCTCAGAGCAGCGGTGGCAGTGATGGAGGAGGGAATATCACCAAACCAGGAATTTTACTGCCGGCTGTTCCCGTAAACTCCAAGCTGAGTTTCTCAAATGCTTTGAGTTTATGATGTTTAGTGTGTGTCAGACCTGATTCTCCGATTGTCCCGGATAATTTTCTGTGTTTAAGATGACTCAGGAGTTCAGTAGAGTTCAGTATTTAATTCATGAAGTAATGAAGTATGAAGTAATCCTTTTCTGTAGCTACTCCGTGGCTTTCTGCCTCCTGAGGATTATTCATACTAGGACAAAAGGTGCTGCGTCTGCCCTGAGATGTAAATGCACAAAGCACCTACAGAAACCTGCACTTTTCCAGAGAGTTTAGAAAGTGGGTGTTCATGCCAAAAGTGGCTGGTTTGTGACCTGAGAAGCTTTACAGGCATGCTGCGGGGAATGCTCCACTCGGCCACCTTGCTCCCAGTCAGATGATAATTTCCTTATTAGAACTGCAGTTATTGGGTATAAAATGTGACGAGTCGATACAATTCCTTTCTTGCAGGATTGGCACCACTTAGTTTGTTTCAAAAGGCTTTTGTTTTGCTCTGGGAAGCCTTTAAATATACAAAGCTTTCTAAAATAACCACCAGTTGAAGTGTGGACGCTGGGAAGCGTGGCCACAGGCGAGCGCCGGGACACTGCTCCCCGCTGAGGCCATTCGCTCTTGCCCGAGCTGCCCCCCCAGCTGCGGGACCCCGTTGCAGCTCGATGCCCCAGGCAGCACCTGCAGGGGGTTTCCTTCCCTTGCGGAGGCTGATTGCATGATTAGCACCTCCTGATGCAGCCCAGGCCGCGCTGGGGGTGCTGGGAGCAGGGCTGAGCTGCTTGAGCAGCCTGAGAGGATGAGGAGTCCCTGTGTGAGTGGAGAAGGAGTAGTGCCTGGCAGCAGAGCAAGCCCCCCTTGCACCCCTACAGAGAGCTACGGTCTGTCAGCGCTGTCCCACCCACGGGTCCGGAGGAGGAACAGGACGACAGCGGTATGTCCCGCTTTACAATGTTTGCTTGTGTTCTCCCAGGGAGATGTTCCCCCCGCGATGCTCGCAGGAGGTTGTGCTTTGTAGGAGTTGGAGTCAAAACTCACCGTAGCAACTCCCTGTCCCTGTAGGCCCTTAGCCTGGTGTGGCTGAGCCAAACCAGCTCCTACATAAAGAAGAAACAAACTGGCGAAGAAGGAGCTTATTGTAAGGCTTTACCCAGCTCTGAAGGTTGCTGTTATTGCCGTGATCAGGACAGCTCACACCTGTAACCCAAAGGGGAGGTGGCCCTGGCGTGTGCATGGCTTGCGCAGGCTACCCTGGTTTTCCCCAGGTCTGCTCTGCCGCTGTTGCAAATAGGGCAAGTCCAGTGTAATGAGGGTCACGGCTAATTGGTGTTGTGTCAGAGAGGTGACGGGGATAAGCAGTGGTTCACTCTGAACACCTCACCCTCAGGAAGGGGCTCTGAGGCAGAGCAAACCCAGTTCTTGCTTCTCCTCTGGTCTCCAAAGGGCTGCCCAGGAGTGGAACAGTCCCGGGACACCCAAGGTTTGTGTTTTCGGTCCCCTTGCTGGCTAATGTTGCTTTCTGAAAGGTGTTTTCAGGGTGCACCATCTCGCACCCCTCACTCCTGAGCCAGGTCATAGAATCCTAGAACAATTCAGGTTGGGAAAGACCCTTGGGGTCATCGA